TTGATGTAGAGGTGTGTGAGGTGTGCTGCGTCACACTGAAGTCCTCTTGTCTTAAAGACTAGCTGTAAATCATGCTCTTTCAAAACAATGGCATCCAAGAATCAATATTAATAAAAAAATATATTAATTCTCTGTGGTCGCTCCTGTTTGTTTACTTTATTGTGTCTAAAATTTTGCTGCAAACCAGCAGAATTAAATTCGTAACGAAACATTTATATGACTTTGTGGGATGGAAATTGTAATATTTGTACGTTTTAAACATGGAACCTTCAATGAATGGTCTCTGTTGGATGTGTGTTCTTGCGTGTGATTGGCTGGATTGGTGAGGGGGAGGAGCTGATGTGGCTGGCAGACCCTGAACAGTCCACAATCCCTGGCTGTGTTCCTGCAACATCACCATGAAGATCGCCTTGGTGAGCATCTTTTTGCTGATGCTCCTGACTGACATCCACACCAGCGTCCAGCCGCAGAAAAACTTTGACCTTCAGAGAGTAAGAACTTTAGCCGTGTACTTTTCAACACTGAAGCTTTTTGAAAATGACCTCTAGGTTCTTTATCTGTAGGAGTGTAGCATGTTCAGTTATGGACTTGAAGCAACAAATTCAGTTTTCCACTCCTTTGCTGAGTTCAGGCTGGTGTTGTGTGAGATTTAAACTGCTGAATAATGTTAATGTGATGTTTGTTTAGGGAAGTTTGAGTTTTTCTTGTCTAGGGCTTAAATACTGACATGAACAAGCTGTTTCTCCATGTTGATTAGGGTAATGCTCTACAGGGACGGCGATTACATTAACAGTAGAGACAGAGCAGACAAACAGAGCTCAGGGCAAAGGTCACGCGCTCAGTGTTGCAACAAGGAACGGGTGATTTCTGCCCATTATGAAAAAAGACACTTTTTTTTTTTTTTTTAAAGGGAAGACAAAACATCAGTGAATAAACAGACAAATAACCTACGGTTCTATTTTTGTTTGGCCATTAGTATCAGGCTTATTATTTTTGGCTGGATTCTCTGTTGTTTTTCCAAAACATCCTTGTCTAATTATGCTTATCATCTTGAGATGTGATATCTGTTAGTGTGAGCTGGATTGTGTTTGTTCAGTTTGCAGGGAGGTGGTATCGGGTCGGTCTGGCCTATGATTCTCCAGGTTTTGTGCGGTACAGAAGCAAACTCACCATCTCTATGGGTACAGTGGAGCCGAAGGATAACGGGAACATCTACATGACCCTGTGGAGTTTAACGTGAGGGACACCCATTTTCACATATGTGACCCTGGACCACAAAACCAGTCATAAGGGTCAATTTGAGATTTATACATCATCTGAAAGCTGAATAAATAAGCTTTCCATTGATGTATGGTTTGTTAGGATAGGACAATATTTGGCTGAGATACAACTATTTGAATATCTGGAATCTGAGGGTGCAAAAAAAATCTAAAAAAAAAAAGCAATGCATGTTACTAATCAAAAATTAAGTTTTGATATATTTACGGTAAGAAATTTACAAAATATCTTCATGGAACATGATCTTTACTTAATATCCTAATGATTTTTGGCATAAAAGAAAAATTGATAATTTTGACCCATACAATGTATTTTTGGCTATTGCTACAAATATACCCGTGCTACTTAAGACTGCTTTTGTGCTCCAGGGTTACATATGATTGTTTTCAGAGGAAAAAATATTTGTATATAATACAGTAAAACAATAGAATAGAATAGAATAATACAATATTACTGCACAAGTTTTTTTTAGTTTTTTTTTTACATACAACCGGTTCAGATATATTAATATATTCAGAACAACAGCACTTTTAACTCTCGGTTAATAATGAGAAACATATTTCAGACAATTCTTTTGTTTTAGCTTTAATTCACTATGAATTTAGAATAGTTCCAAAAATATTATTATCATCCTAAAATTGTTATATATATGATATGATATTATATGATAATATTACACTGTATGATGATTCTTATCTCTCATTTGTCATAGTTAAAGTTAAGAATAGTTTCTAAAATAACTATTATATTATGTTATATGATATTATATTATATTAACACACTGTGTGTTGATTCGTCTCATTTGTCATAGTCAAAATAGTTAAGAATAATTTCTAAAATAACTATATTATATTCACACACTTGTGTGATGATTCTTGTCTCATTTGTCAGTTAAAATAATCGTTTCTAAAATAACTATATTATTATATTCGCATACTGTGTGCTGATTCTTGTCATTTGTCAGTTATAATAGTTAAGAATAGTTTCTAAAATAAATGTAGTATTATTATATTACATTATATTATTCACTCGTTGTATGAAGATTGTTGTCTCTGTTGCGTGTGATCATATGCAGTTCCTCTGGCTCTCATTCTAAGGTCTACATTTACAAGAAGACGTCTGTCCCCGGCGTATTCACCTACTACAGCACTCGTGAGTCAACATATAAGACAAATATGACTGATCTGATCAGTACTGAGAAAATGATACTACAGTTCAGTTTTTTTATTGTTACTTGAAGGCCATAGAAGGGTGAAAGATGTTACTGTGGTGGAGACAAACTACACCGAGTACACCCTGGTCCTCAAACACGAGAAGTTTAACAAGGAGATCACATAAGTGGCCCTTTATGGTGAGTCTGAGATTAACAACAGGATCGACTCAAGCTTTCTTGGAGGGCGTTTTTGTTTTGACTTTGTGAGTTGTTCTCAGTGCCTGTAATTTCACTGTGGGTCATGCTAAGAAGTTGAGGGCGGATGTGATGGAGAAGTTCAGAGCTCCATCCGGACTCCACCAGCTGCTGGTAAACCACTCAAATCACTTACACCTGCAAGTTCGACTTTATCTAGATAGTTCACCCAAAAATGTCATCATCAAAAAGTCATCATTTACTCACCCTCATGTTGTTCCAAACCAGTTTGAGTTTCTTTCTTCTGTGTTTCTTCAAAAGACGATATTTTGAAGAATGTGGGTAACCAAACAGTTTCTGGTAGCCATTGACTTCCATAGAATGTAAAGAAATAGTATGGAAGTCATTGGCTGCCATCAACTACTTGGTTACCCACATTCTTCACATTATCTTCTTTTGTGTTGAGAAAGAAATTCATACAGGTTTGAAAACGACATGAGGGTGAGTAAATGATGACAAAATTTTCATTTTTAGTTAAACTATCCCTTTAAGCCACACTTAAGATTGAATGGAGGAGGATTTGAATGATAAAGCAATACTGTTCAAAACGACAACAAAAAAAATATTTGGATAATTTTGTAGTTGTCAAACATGGCTCATGTTCATAGATAAAGTGATTGTCTACACCTGTGTTTACTCTGATAGGACATTTGAGGAGAACATTTTTTGATATTTGGTTTGATATCTAACATGGTGTGTCCGAAATTGCACACTGTCTGAGAACGTACTACATTTGAATTTGAACTTATTTCACAACCGTTAAAAGGTATGTTCTATATAGTATGAATATGGGTAGTATGAATGAAATTCGGACGATGACATGTTGTCATATGCCTTGTTGTCATTATCATGTGAACTGTCAGCGTCAGTTGCGCTGCTTTACTTCCTCTCCCGTGGCCTCATGGGATAGTAAAGTGTTCATCGACTGCACACTTCAGAATCCAGGCAAAAATAGTAGGTCATTCAGATATTTTTCGGCTGCTGTTTTCGAATACTATGAATTCAGACATACTACTTCTTTGGCATACTGTTTTTGGCATGCTATATAGTAGGGAAGTATTCAATTTGGATTCAGTGAGTGAAATTCAGTCATATTTTTAAGTGTGGCCGAAGTACTTTTTTTTTTCAGGACTATACATGGTTGGACACTCAAATAATTGCTCAAGAACAGGCAATTATCAATGTGTGACTGAACCTTTGTTCACAAACCATTTAAGTGTTTATTTATTGTCTAAAATAGTTATATTTTCATAAAAATTCTAACAAAATTTCTAATTTTTGTTTTGTCTTTTTTAGAAAACTGTCCTTGTTTAGGAAGTTAGGTAAGTGAGAGCTTCAAGTCTAGTTCGTCAATCCTTGTTTTCTCACTAATAACCTCATGACACTGCTGGAAGTTATTCATTCAGTTTGGCAACTTTGTATATTTTGTTTTATAACATTGTTTTTTACTTGTTTTGTCCTCTTTCAGTTCCCAATCACATTTAGAGCTGAAGGAAAAAAATTTTTACAATTATTTTGTGGCAGTTTGTAATATTGTAACTGATGTCATTGTCATTTGCTGTGCTTAGTTGTTATATTTAACTATAAATCTGACAAAACTGAATCAAAACACTGAAGAAGTGTGGAAATACAGAAAGAGGTATTATCATGTCTCTGATTATCTTTGCTGGCTAAAATAAAACTTTTTTTTGTTTCTGTTCATGTTGTGTGTGTGACTCACATTTGGAGTTAAGCATTAGAAATGAAAGTTAATGTGTAAATATGTGTAGAGTACATCTCTTCACTTGCGTTGAAGCTTTTCTTACAGACTCTGTGCTAACAGGAAAAATGCTAACTGCTTACTGTTTGTGACTGAAAAATCATTCTCACTGGATGCCATTTTTGTGACAGATGTTGTTTGGTAATTGTAAATAAAAATCTAATTCTAAAGGATATGGGGAGGTGTCCAAGTCACAACATCTAGCTACTGGGGTGCCTCAGGGCTCAGTTCTTTGACTTCTTCTCTTCTCTATCTACATGGCTTCACTAGTTTCTGTCATTCAGAAACATGGCTTTTCATATCACTGCTATGCTGATGACACTCAACTCTACCTCTCATTCCATCCTGATTTTCCGACAATAGCTGCTCACATCTCAGCATGTCTAACAAACATTTCTTGCAGAACCATCACTTTCGGAAACACAGAACTGCTTGTGGTTTCATCCAACCCAACACTTAATCACAATTTCTCCATCCAGCTAGGTGCATCAATGACAATTCCTTCAAGGACAGCCAGGAACCTTGGAGTTGTGATTGATGATCAGCTGAATTTCACAGACCACATTGCTACAGCTGCCCGGTCCTGCCAGATTTACCTTATACAACATTAGGAAGATCAGGTCCTTTCTATCTGAAAATGCTACACAATTCCTTATTCAAGCTCTAGTTCTGTCCAGGCTGGACAATTGCAACGCCTCCTTGGCAGGTCTTCCAGCCACTTCTATCAAACCTCTACAATTAATCCAGAATGCGGCAGTAAGATTAGTCTTTAACAAGCCGAAAAGAGTGCATGTCACACCTCTGTTCATCAACTTGCACTGAAGGCATTAATGTTTGCTTACAAAACAACCTCTGGCTCTACGCCCCTTTACCTAAATTCACTACTTCAGATGTATGTGCCCTCCAGAAGCTTGCGTTCTGCAAGTGAACGGCGCATTATAATACCATCCCAAAGAGGCACAAAATCACTTTCACAGACTTTTACCTGAAATGTTCCCTGCTGGTGGAATGACCTGCTCAACACGATCTGAGCAGCTGAGTCCTTAGCCATCTTCAAGAAATGTCTAAAGACACATCTCTTCCATCTACACTTGACCCTCCAACACCTGCTCTCTCTATTCTATTTCTATTCTATCTACTTGTTTTCTTTTTGTTTATAAAATTATTGTTTTGGAAACTTAAAACATTTATTATATAAAACAAAAAAAAAAAGCTCTTTTTAACTCTTACATACTGAATTATGGGAATATTAAATAGATTCATGCAAATATTAAATCTTCTATTTGTTTCAGCCAAAGCAAACAAGAACATAAGGCACAAACAGGAGTCAATAGGCAGATAAGGAGAACTTTGTTCTGTTTGTTTTGTTGGACTGGTTTTGGGGGTGGTATTGCACACATGGCCAGCAGGTCGATGTCCTGTGGATGATAGAGACAGTCGTGGTTCTTCAGAACTTCATTTGGATCACAGACAGTCAGAATGAAGTGTGTTGTTCTAGTGTTTCTGCTCCCGCTCCTGGGCCTCTTGCATGCTGGGCCGCTGCCCGATGAGCCCGTCCTCCAGCCCCAAGAGAACTTTGATGTGAACCGGGTAAGTTATGCTTTTTGGAAGTTTAAGAGAATGTTTGTGCATAGAGGAGACCAGGACTAGTTGTCATACTTTTTACACTTACATAGAATATTTCTATATAGTCAGTTTCTAAAAAGACACAAACACATGAAAATGCCTTGAATACAAAAAACTACTCAACATTTCCACTGTTAGCCCAGGACAAAAAAGGCATAGTTCATTTATCACTTATTGTTCTTTAGTGACAACATGTCCCAATGGTCACACTAAATGTGGTCTGTTGTCACAATGGCAACCTGCTTATTTACACTAATTTTAGAAAACAATTTTAAGATTTAAAAAAAATCTGTATTTAAAGTGTTTTATAGGCTATTTATTTACATTTTGGCAATATGTTACATTCTAATAATTATAAACTATATGGGAACAATTTTTATGAAAAAAGGCATATAAAACAAATTTACCTACAATATATACAAATGTTTTTAACGTGAAACAAATATGTGACCCTGGACCACAAAACCAGTCATAAGGGTCAATTTTTGGGTCAATTTTTTTAAATTGAGATTTATACATCATCTCAAATAATCATCTGAATAAATAAACATGTGACGACCCCGGGCTGGACTCCGCTTCGTCCACGGTGAAAGTTCCACAGCGATCCACAGCGCGAAGTTGATGTATTTCCTCAGGGACCAGCACAGATCAGCTCTAGGCATGACGAAGCGGATATCGTCCTCTTTTGGAAGGCCAACATGATCTTTACTTAATATCCTAATGATTTTTGGCATAAAAGAAAAATCAATAATTTTGACCCATGCAATGTTTTTTGACTATTGCTACAAATATACCCCAGCGACGTTATGCAAATCTTCCCACATAGTGACGTAGATATGTGGGGGCGTGTTAGAACGAGCCGTTTTAGGTAGGCGTGGCTGACTCTTAACTTTTATAAAGATTATCTCTTTGGATTTGAGACTTTAGTCTTTGCAACTTTACAGATATTCTTTATGCACCAAGAGCTTGTAACACTCCGAAAAGAAAGGAAAATTTTAAATTGCATCATATGACCCCTTTAAGACTTGGTTTCTGGTTCAGGGTCACATATGGAACAAAGCAGTTCATAAAATAGGTGTTTAAAAGATTGTATAGGCTATTTATTTGCATATTGGGGATTTTGTTTTTATATTGTAATAAACATTTTTTGAGAAAGTAGGCTATATAAAACAAAATTACATACGATATATACAATGTTTTTAATATGAAAATATGTAGCAAAACAATTCATGAAATAGGTGAAGAAAAATCATCTCTATTTAATAGGTGTTATAGGCTATTTCTTTGTATTTTAGTGTTTTTTTTATATTTTAATTGACTAAATATTTTATGAGAAAGTAGGTTATATAAAACAAGAAATTTCACAAAATATAAAAACCTTTTTAACATTAAATAAACAAAACAAATCAAGTAAATTTCAAAAAAAATAATCGTATAATAATAATAATAACTATTATAATTATAACCTAGTGTTATACAATATATTCAGCTGAAATATATATAGTTGACCCTTTTACAAACAACAAACAGACAATAAATAAATAAATAAATAAATAGTAATGTTATTCCTCCCTAGTGAATTTGATTTGTGCACATTTCAATAACTTTTCTTTGGTCTAATATGAGTGTCAATAAGGTGATATTTGCATAAAATGACTCACTGGCTGTTGTATAACAACTACTGTATGTATTGCAGTGCCCTGTTACACCACATTTTATTTTATTATTATTACCATAAATATTATTGTAATATGGCCAGTGATGTGATCTTTCTAACATGTCCACGTCCACCTGCATTTGAAATTCTAATTGACCTTATTTCTCCTAATCTGACCTCCTCGTCTCCTCTGTAAGTTCATGGGCAAATGGTATGATATTGCGATTGCGTCCACATGCCCGTGGCTCAAGCGTCATAAGGGAGACGCAGCCATTGGCTCTTTGGAGCTGGAATCCAGTGGCTCAACACAGACCATCAGCATGACCCGCATCAGCCGCAGGTACAGCACACAATTATTTCACATCCAATCAACAAAATATTGTGAAAAAAACACCCTCATACCCACAAAAACAGTTTGCAAAGGCATTGTTTGTTTATTTTGCAGACATGACAGCTGTAAGTCCATCAGTGGAGAATATCAGCTGACCAAAACACCTGGAAGATTCCATTACCACAATGCCAGTGAGTTCAGCACCACAGCTGTCAATCATACAGTTTCCTCATGTCACTTCACTGTTATTTCACCGTTTGTGTGTCTTTGCTCATGCAGAGTGGAATGCTGATGTGGACTCCTATGTGGTTCACACAAACTACGATGAGTACGCTCTGGTGGTGATGTATAAACAAAAACCAGGCGGGGAAAAAACCACATCTGTCAAACTCTACGGTAAAACATCCGTTTTCTTCTTGGACAACATTTAGGTCTTTCGTGATCTCAGCTTTGACCTCAAATCGACCAAAGCAGCATGTATTGCATACTATGTCTGGGGATTTTCAAATGCATCTGAACTACCTCTTTAGGGCTAATATTACCCACAACCCCCTGCACGTCAACGAGGAGTTTGTGATGGTTCCCTTAATAACGATGATTACTTTTTCAGTTGAAGAGAAATGGTGAGGAATGTGAGTGCTAAACTAAACTATTTAGCACTAACCGCAAGTGCTAAACGTAGAATTGAGCTAAATGCTAATGCTAACATGCAACGAAAACAGTATGCGACAAATGTGTGTGTGGTAAGACTATCTTCTATGAACTCCCATCAAATAACTTCAGATTGCTTTCTTAATGGCTACATTCATTGCATGCTTACATACTACTTAGTTGATATTTCTCTAGTCTAGAATGACTACTACACTGGCCAAAATGTGTAGTATATATGACTTAGTGCACTGTACCCCACAATGCAATGCACTCGACTTGACCTTGTATTTTAAGTATAATAAACAAAATCAAAGTGGTTGCACCTGCTCTTTTGTATTTCATTATATGGTCAAACTGTCAAATGGTAAGACAATTTTACATAAAATGAAATGCAAAATACTGTTTAATAAAAAAAACACTTAAAGGCACCATGAAATCAAAATTGAAAATTCTTATTTTTTAATGGAATACTGTAGTGTTTATTATAAATAATTTATCCGTGCACTTCATTATTTTTTTTTAATTCATGTGCCCTCTTAATCTTTAATCAAAAACGTTAACCTCCCCTCCCCCTCAAAACGACTCCTCTTCTCTTCCGGTCACGAGCTATGGCGCAAGGGCGGAGCTAGTGACGTGAGGGGTAAACGCTGGGATAAACGACAGGGGGGAAAGCTGAAGCTTCACTTTATAGCACTGACACCAGTCACGAGGGAGTACGTTACCCCTAAACATTGAAAAGATATTAGGATATTACGACAACATTACTCTTAGAAAATGGCAAACAAATTTTTTTCATTAATATTACTTAACCTGATGGAGGACGGGCTCAGTCATTCTCTCTCTCTCTCTCTCTCTCTCTCTCTCTCTCTCTCTCTCTCTCACGCCTAAGCTTCCAACGATCCAATCAATTCCCGAAGGACGAAATCAAGTCCCGCCCTCTCATTTCAGATGCCGTTTCACTCGGATATACGTCACAGTAGAAAAGAAAAGACAATCGGAACTTCCGTTTCATGCCGACTTTAAGTAATTAGTGATTTAAGTGATATTTTTAAATAACTGAATGCCATTTACATACAATGTGTGGTCATGTGACAACAGTGTGGCACACTGCTGTTTGATGAGATCATTTTTACTGTTTTGAAAAATATCGGGGTATTCAGTAAATATTATTCAGTTCTGAACACCTGTAATATAGGGAACATTCTCAGAATTTATTCTCAGAATAATAGAATGATTGTTAAATGTCTTTAGTAATGTTCTCAAAGCATTAGTACAAAAACATTATTTATACATCGTTCATGGAATGTTTTTTTTTTTTTCCTGAAACATTTTAGTTGGATGTTCATCCGTGTTACTACTTATTTCAAAATGTTTAGAGAACATTTAAAAGTAGCATTCTCATAATGTTTCAAAAAATTATAAAATGGAATGTTCCCTTATCGTTCATGTAACCAAGAAAAAAAAACGGACATTTTGAACATTCAGAGAACATTCAGCAATAACGTTTTTATAACTTAATGGGAAATGTTCCTAGATCATGTGGTTATCAGGGTTTGTATTTGTGAGCATTGAGGAACCGTTATTCTCACCCTGTAGGACGTACTATGCAGCTGCGGCCCACTCTCATCGAAGACTTCAAGACTCTGGTGGCTGAGCAGGGAATGAGTGAAGACACTATAATTATCAAAAAGAACAAAGGTATCCTCAGGACACAAACCAGTGCCAAACACGCCTTTTATTCGGACCCGATGTGATTATTCTTGGCTCTCCTTCTCTCTTCAGGTGAATGTGTTCCAGGTGAGCAGGTCACACCAGAGCCACAGATCCAGGTGAAGACCTCACCATCACTGCAGCGCACACACACAAGAAACTAAACCCATAAACAACGGACATTTTCATTTTAGCTTAAAATAGTAGTTACTCTTAGTGCGATTCTTCAACCAAAAATACAAATCTGATCATCATTTACTCACCCTCATGTCGTTCCAAACCTGTATTTTGCCGAACATAAAAGCTGAATATTTGAATCGTTTAAAGTCTGCTGAATCCATACAAAGAGACAAACAACACCTGAGGGTGAATAAATAATGACAGACTCGTCATATCTGACTGAATTATTCATGTAAGTGATTGAAGCGTCATTAATAATCTTGTCATGTGATTCGATCTCAATAGAGGGCGAGGAGGAATGTGGTCCTGCCGGCTCCTGAGGAGGGATCCGGTGACGATATGCCCATATTTAGAGGACCTGGTGAGTAACAGTGCCACTTATGTGCTGCTTTCATATATATATATATATATTAGTGCTGTCAAATGATTAATCGCGATTAATCGCATTCAAAATAAACGTTTTTGATTACATTATAATCTTCATGTGTACTGTGTATATTTATTATGTATATATAAATACACACAGATACAGCACTAATATATATATATATATATATATATATATATATATATATATGAGTATCATATGAGGGTAGCTGACAAATTTTTAACTAATGTGTAAGTGTATATTTAGCTGATGTTTTTATTTTTTGTAGATTTTGTGATTGGTTGGTAACCATTTAATTTAATTAATATTTTTTTAAATGTGCAGATATGTCACAGAATTACTGAGGTCATAAATCATGATTGATACATTATACATTACCGTTCAAAGATTTGAGTTCAGTAAGATTTTTTGATGATTTTTTTAAAAGCTACATTTTTTTTTATTAGAAATGCAGTAAAAAATCATAATATTGTGAAATATTATCGCAATTTCAATTTTAACTGAATATTACGATTACGGTTTCATTGACTTGGTGCTCAAAGAAACATTTATTATTATTATCAATGTTGAAAATTGCTTAATTATTGCTTAATATTTTTGTGGAAACCATGATACTTTTTTAAAGGATTCCTTGATGAATAAAACGTTTAAAATAACATTTATTTGAAATAGAAATCTTTAGTAGCATTTTAAATGTTTTTTTACTATCACTATTGATCAGTTTAATGCTTCCTTACTGGAAAAATTTTATTAATTTCTTCTTTTTTTTTTAATCCCCAAATAATGACCCCAAATTTTTTAAACAGTAGTGTGTCTTACATGATTTTTTAAATAATAATACATTATTATTTAATTGTGTGAAAAAAGAGGGCAGAGAATGGAATGATAAATAAATAAATAAAAATTTTGTAAAAAATTGTTGCTTCGATATTAGAGATTATTCTAGTAATAATCTTCTAGAGTTATAATAAATTATAATATATACTATTATGTAAAAATTATCATAATTAGTCAAGTCACCTTTATTTGTATAGCGCTTTATACAATACTGGTTGTGTCAAAACAGCTTTACAGTCAAACAGGAAAATAGTTCGTCAATGATTCAAGAAGACAATAACAGAGTCACTTTTCAGTCAGTTCATTGATGATTCAGTGATGTCATCATCCAGTTCAGTTCTCCTCCAATAGTGTCTGTGCAATCAGTCAAGCGTTAAATAGAGTTAAATATTGCTTTGATATTATAATAAAATGACCTGTGTGTGCGTGTGTGTAGAAGCGTGTAAGTCCCAGCCAGATTCAGGTCCATGTTTCGGGATGTTGCAGCGCTACCATTACAACTCATCCATCATGGCCTGTCAGATGTTCACCTATGGAGGCTGCATGGGGAACCAGAACAACTTTGGGACTGAAAAGGAGTGTCTGCAGAGCTGCCGCACTGAGGGTGGGTGTGTGTGTGTGTGTGTATGTGTGTGTGGTTTTATTATACACACATGTATTTTGTCCCTCAGCCGCCTGCAGGTTGCCCATGGATGCTGGTCCTTGTAAAGTGTTCACAGACCTGTGGGCCTTCGACTCTGCCGCTGGAAAGTGTGTGTCTTTCAAATATGGAGGCTGCAAGGGTAATGGCAATAAATTCTACAGCCAGAAGGAGTGTGAGGAGTACTGCGGCGTTATGATGAGAAATGGTGGGACACACACATTACACCAGAAAATAGCAGATTTTTTTCATTAATGTCATTCATATTATTATCAAAATTGTAAGGAGAATTGTGACGCTTGTGTCGTTTTGTTATGGATTTGCAGGAGATGACGAGTTTCTCACAGTGAACTGAGTATGGTGTGAATGAAAATGAAGCGTGACTTTGTTTCAAACAGAAAAGTGCAACATGGATCAGTTTCCAACAGGCATTAACTTCAACATTAACACAATAAATAAAGACCTGTCCAATGTACTGGTTGTGCACTTCATTTTCCATTTTACTGTGCTGCTGTATGGGACTTTTTATTATTTTATTTTATTTTTTTATTTTATTGTTCTGTTTTCCTTCACTTTAAAAATAAATCTCAGTAAAATTACTATTATTTAAAAATATTTCATTTTATTTTATTATTTTTAGTTTTCTTTTGCTTTCTTTAACAATAAAAATCAGTAAAAAATAAAACACATTTTAGTTTATTTTATTTTACTTTTCGTATTATTTTATTTTCCAGTAAAATTAATTGTAAAATTTCATTTCATTTTGTTGTCCAGTGTGACATTTTACACTGGACATTTTACTTTTACTTGTTTTATTTGACTTTCTTTTATTCTAATATTACATTTTATTGTTTTGTTTTCTTTTGCTTTCTTTAAAAATAAAATTCAGTAAAAAAAAAAAAATACAATATACAGTAATATAAAATAAAATAACATTTCTTTTTTAATTTCTTTAAAAATACATTTCAATAAAAATAAAACACATTTTATTTATTTTTATTTTATTTTCCAGTAAAATCATTATTTCATTTTGTTTTCCAACATGAATAAAACAATTTTACACATTTTCCTTTATTTTATTTTGCTTTATTTTACATTTTATTTATTTATATAAACATTTTATTCACTTTTATTTTATTTTGCAGTAAAAATTATTTCATTTTATTTGATTCTTGGGATGCCAAGATTTTTTTCTTTTCACTGGACATTTTACAATTGCCCCCGGTCTCCTACTGACAGTGGCCAGGAGAGGTCAGTGTTGTCTACTGACGGAGATCTTCTTACCAGCTCTAGTCTTTGGAATTGTGTGAAACTGCCTGCTCAACTGATTTCACTGCTGATCTGTGACCAGTTTTAGCGTCCTTGTTATAATACCAAAGCAATATGACGCTGATCCTGCATGCAGGCAAAAACAGTCCATTCTGAGCAAAGTGCCCAGTAGCCCAGCCAGGCTTCCTGCCCGCTGTTTCTCAGAATTCACGGCTGGTGATGTTGCTGGGAGAATGCTGGGAATATCCGGAGAGGAAAAAGGAACTGACGGCTTTCAGTGACCTTCCTGCCAGGGCCACATCACCTGCTCACACACAGCCTCACACAGACACAACCGCTCTACAGCCCGAGACAAGCATCCGCAGCGCCTCCAAACACTATTCGGACACTTAATGCCTGCCTAAAACGTTTGAATTTCATTGCATTTGCTACAAAATATCAAACCAAGTCTGTGCTCAAATGGTAGGCTACTCAAGCTTTTCTCAGAAAATATTTTACTTTTATGAGCCATTTTTGCTGCTACTTTTAGTTGATTTTAGTGGATGTATGAAGTCCGTTCCCTCACGTTCATGCAGGTGTGCTAACAGAGGAACCACAGGTGCAGTTACATTAACGTTTGACAACTACAAAAGTGTCCATAGCATTAATACAATGAAACCGCACAAGACGTGTCTCATATAAACACACACAAACGTCCGCATTTACAAACGCATGCTGCAGCAAACACAAACCCACGAAACTACATCACACTCATAAATTACACCAACTCACACATTTTCAGTTTCACACACATAGGCTACAATGCAGAATCTGAACTTCCTCAGACATCACACACATTTGTTACACGGGCGTTCACACAAAAACCGTGAGAAAATGCAAAATTGCATGTTAGCGGTTAGACAGAATATCATCACTACCGGTTTATTTCAAACCCACATCCATCTACTGTATAGAAAGATGCATACAAATGATATGATTAGTGAGTTATATTAAGAAAATCACTCATACTCATTGGGATCTCAACTTTTTAACGTCAAGTTCTGCACTTTTTGTACAATAGACGTGAACAAAAAACTTCAAATCCTGCAGCTTGTTGTGAAGCGATGTGCTATTACTTTTACCACCCAGGGGCCGCTTGCATAAACTGTTTAAACTAGTCTTTAAAAGTTAGCCATCCAATAGTTTTTTTCCCAAGACTTGTCATAACATTTATGAAAAGGTAGATTGGCCAAACTGATTACCTCTTGGCTAACTGCTAGTTGGTAAAACTAGTTCTTAAGACTCATGATCCGTCCCAATTCGCCTACTTCTACTATGCCCTAAAAGTATGTACTCTTTTTGTGAAACAAAGTACATACTTTTGAGTATGTAGCAGAAGAGTAGACAAATTGGGACTTTGTCATAATTAGGTCTTTAACAAACCCCTCTGTTGCTTAGTTACGTCTATTCTGTTACCATTTAAACTGCCCTGTCAATCATCTTGTCACAGTTATCCTTCACATTTCAATTCATTTAATTTCCTACCGTGTTGGAGAGAAATGAAGAGGCAAGCTGATCTGCCAATCCCCCCTTATGTGTTTGCATAATGATGTATTTATCAGTTAATGACCAAACTTATTTTTCACAGTTCACAGATGAAATATGACGTGGATAACATTAAATAATTATTTTTTCATCAGGTTAGATATTGATTAATAATTAGTCAGCAAAAAACCAAACCAGTCCATTTTAGGACATTAGGACTTTAGGACGGATAGTATGCGAATTGGGACGCAGCATCGGTCTTATCATAGTGACTGTTTATGCAACTGGCCCATGAACACCTTAGCAACTGCATAGCAACACCCTGGAAATCAACCAGAACAACTTAAAGGTGCTTTATGTATTTTTGACTGTACTAAAGCATGAAATACCATAATACATTTGCAGACATTTAGGAAACATGCTGAGTTTACATACTTGTTTCTCTGAAAAACAGTATAGCCAGTTATTCTACATTGAAATGTGCGTTCTGTGTCGGAACGACTGTTTTTGTTTTGATCTGTGTGATTTCACCCAATGCCAATTTACCCAATAGTATTTCGACACCCCTGTTTGCCAGTTGGCAGAAAGCACAGCGTATTGAACTAGTTATGTTCAACCAAGTCTCTGCCTTTCTCACACAGAACAACCTCCTGGACAGCAACCAATCTGGCTTCAGAAGTGGACATTCGACCGAGACTGCCTTGCTTTCAGTTGTTGAAGCCCTAAGACTGGCAAGAGCGGCTTCCAAATCTTCTATACTTATATTGCTGGATCTGTCCGCTGCTTTCGATACAGTGAACCACCAGATTCTCCTGTCAACCCTGTTGGAAAATGGCATCTCAGATGGTTTGAGTCTTACCTCTCAGATAGGTCCTTCAAGGTATCTTGGAGAGGTGAGGTGTCCAAGTCACAACATCTAGCTACTGGGGTGCCTCAGGGCTCTGTTCTTGGACCACTCCTCTGTCTACATGGCATCACTAGGTTCTGTCATTCAGAAACATGGCTTTTCATATCACTGCTATGCTGATGTGACACTCAACTCTACCTCTCATTCCATCCTGATGATCCGACGATACCTGATCACATCTCAGCTTGTCTAACAGACATTTCTTGTTGGATGATGTACCATCACCTTCAACTCAACCTGGCTAAGACAGAACTGCTTGTGGTTTCAACAAACCCATCACTATATCAAAATTTCACCATCCAGTTAGGCTCATCAGCCATAACTCCTTCAAAAACAACTAGAAACCTTGGAGTTGTGATGGATGATAAGCTGAATTTCTAAGAGCACATTGCTAAAACTGCCCGGTCCTGCAGACTTGCTTTATACAACATATATATGTGTGTGTGTGTGTGTGTGTGTGTATGGGGGGGGGAGGGGTTTGAGGGTTGTCCCCCCTAAAAATATGATTAAAAACTAGGCTGTGTATTGTAAATAACATTATATACTTTAATATATAGGCCTATGTCCTCTTCATGCAACTTACAAGGAACTACTTCTTCTTTTTTCTTGGCTTTTGCAACTTGTAATTATTGCATATCGCCACCTACTGTACAGGAGTGTGTAGAGGGACTTGGCAGATACTTTACTTAGGAAAAATAAATAAAAAAATTGAAAAATACAAATAATAATAAAAAATAACCCAAAGGGTTACCTTTTCGTAACTAAATTCTTCTTATTAATCCTGTATTTTCAAGAAATATAAACAAAGCTTTGAATCTATTTCTTTCCATCCCTTGTTCTCTAATTGTTGTGCACATACATCTTCTGATGCCGCTAGACACATCATCAGTGATGTTCCTGGAATCCTCGGGTGTTTCGGGTCTTTCAACATCATACACCCTCCTCCAGGTGACCCAGCTGGGGCTGATCAGACCCCAGCTTGTGTCCAGCTGGCTGGCTACTTAGTACTCCATGGCTCTCCTCTTTTTAGCCATAGCCACCTTGAAGCACTCTCTGCTGATTCTGTGGTGCTGCGTATAGCTACCCTCCTGCTCGCTCCCTCAATGCCCAGCTCTCTGTAGGCTCTGGCCAAGGAACGTGCTGCAAACCCCCTACATCCAACTTCAACTGGGATGCACCTCGCTCTCTATCCTGCCTGCTTGCAGTCGCTGACGAGTCCTTCATACTTGGAGAGCTTCCTTTCAAAAGCTTCTTCCAAGCGATCTTCCCAAGGGACGGTCAGTTCCAGCAGCACAACTTGTTTTGTGGATTCCGATACAAGGATGATGTCTGGTCGCAGAGTGGTAACTACAATATGACTAGGGAACTTCAGCTGTTTTTCTAGGTCCACTAGCAGTTGCCAGTCCCTTGCAGAGGCCAGTATGCCTGCAGATTTCCTCTTCGTTGAAGTAGGCTGCTCTCCAGCTCTGACGAAGTTAATTCTCTGCTTGGAGGGTCGGGACCGCTTTGCCCTTTCAACTCCAGTCTTTTTGTTTCTAAATTCTTCTTATTAATCCTGTATTTTCAAGAAATATAAACAAAACTTTGAATCTATTTCTTTCCATCCCTTGTTCTCTAAGAATATCTTCAATTTTATTTTCTTCATCCATTTCCTGCCATTTCTGCCTGTATTCATGGTATTTATTGCATTTAAACAAGACATGTTCTACATCTTCCTTGGTTTGACATCTTGTACATGATCCATTACTCTTCCCTATTATCTGCAATGTATAATTCAATCCAGTATGACCTAATCTCAGCCTTGAGTATACTACTACTTATCGCCTGTTTGCCATATTTATCCTTTTTCCTCCTACTTTTGCTTGGTTTATGTGATTACAAGGAACTAAAGAAACACTAGGGCTATATATAGTGCCTAACAAGCTTAACAAGATAACACGACAGGGGAGACTAATAAAGGGGAACCAATGAACAAACGGACAACAAACTGACTACAAACATCACGGGAGACAGGAAGTGATATAAAAGTCCAAGACAAGGCACAGAGAACATGTAACAAAAAATTCTAAAACCAAAATAAAACTGAACACCTCAAAATTGCAAAAAGAAAAAACAATATCCTTCAAAAAGGTTTCTTCAGTATAACGGAAAATTAAAATAATGTTAAGCAAAATGAAAAAGTCAAAGCCTTCTTGCACTGGATGTGCTGGTTTCAGCCTCATTGCCTGCTGCAGTCATGTCCTTATCTCATATTTAAAACACCTGTGATTCACGACCACTTGCTAAGGAACTCGCATTCATGTAAAGTAGCCTTGTTGACAAGTTTGGGTGAGTAAGGGCAAAACGCACAAGATATTGTACTTTCAGTGCCCTGTAGTTGTCGATATCACTTCTTTTGTAGCAGAAATAAACAGCAGCAGAAAAAGCTAGGGTGCCATGCAAAATGTAATGGGTAATTGCAAAACTCATTAAAAATGTAGTGTAGTAAAGATATAGATATTTATTCAAAAATGTAGTGAAATAAGGAGCAAAAGTTGCTAATATATTTGTTAATCAGTAAAACGACAGAATATCCCAAAAGATACTCAATACAGTAATTAATTTCATTTACTCAAATACTTTACACCTCTGTGAGTGTGGAGTAAACTCTGTGAGTTTACTAGAGTCTGAGGAGGAGGGGGCAGAAGAAACAACTCTCTCCAATATTTTGAATTTGGACTACAGTACCCATTTCAACCACTAGTTTTGATATTACATACAATGCCTTTAAAGCAGGGGTGTCAAACTCAATTCCGGTAGGGCCACAGCCCTGCAGAGTTTAGCTCCAACCCTAATTAAACACACCTG